TAAAATTAGATTTAGTTAAAAAATGCTGGCCGCTTTTAATCCAATATCATGGGAGATGATACTGTATAGTGATGTTACATCACAAGTGACTAGAAAATTCCCATCCATCCATACAATCTCTTCTAAACGTTTTAGGATGTTAATAGTGTCTTTTAGATAAGCTGGATTGCGTGTTACTATTGGTTGTAATAAGTTATCCAAATATTCAGACACTTTTGCTGAAATTGAATCTATGCCTGAGATAATCGGTCTTCCTGGTGGATTATCTTTATTTATTTTTTTGGAAGAAGTTCTCGCCATTCCCAGAAGAAGTCTCCTCATTTATCAACACAACAAGAAGGAGAAATGGAACAAAAGCAATATCCCCTTCATTTGTAGTTTCAATGGTAATAACAGGAAGGTACATAAAATTATAACAAAATACTGGCATATTTTACAAGATGACCCAACCCTCAATCAACCCAACCCAACCCAATTAATTCTCCCAACCAAACCGAAAATAATTTATAGGGGGGCTCGCAATTTGAAGAGAACCCTCACACAGAGTAGTTTAAGAAATATAACTCCCCGTGATACTTTTTTAAAGCAAAGTAAAGGTTTTTATGGTTGTGGATCTAGTCTAGCATGAAGAGGGACAAAAAGTAAGAAAAGGCACATATTAAACTTAGAACCATACACTAATACAAAATTTGAAATTAAGGACCATCTTTCATGCCATGCCAGAGGAGTAATATACCTCCTCAAATGCCCATGTAATCTTTTATATGTAGGAAGAACGATTCGCTGCCTTCACATAAGAGTAGCAGAACATGTGAGAAATATTAAAAAGGGGTTAGAGTCACATAGTGTTTCTAATCATTTTAAGTTAGCTCATACTCAAAACCCAGAAGGCCTCTTCTTCTGTGCAATGAAACTTGTAAGAAAAGACTTGAGAGGAGGCAACTACATGAAGAAAATTTTGGACATTTATTCCTGGTATTTATATTTATTCTATATCCATTTTATTATTTTTTAGTTTTTGTGTGTTAGGGATTACCAATAAAGGTATATTTCTTATAGACCTTGGCTATGGTACCCTATATTTACATTGGGAGCACTGGATGACCAACACCACTTCCAAAGGAACCAGGTTTCCAGCAGAACTGAGAGCAAAAGAAAGGATTGGGCATCCTAAAACTGTCCACAAGCATTTACCATCTGAGTCATATATGATTTATGACCCGTGACTTGTGAGTGACACCATATACGCCTTTCTATAGTTCAATTCTGTGATAGCAATATTGCGCTATTTGTGTTTTGTATTTATATTATTGCAGACACTTACCATACGTTTATACAAGAAGCTCCATCTTAGGTATCCCCTAATTCAACTGAAAATGCAGCTTATAATGACTTCTCCAGGCTCAAAATTATTCAACCCCCTGAATAGAATCCCTTATAAACAGCACAAATATGCAAAACAGGTGTTGTCTCGAGCACACTTGATGCAACTAATCAAGGGCTTTATTAGTTGCATAGGTGTGCTTGAGCTGGAACACTTGAAATACTTGAACTGGCTAGGGGTTTGTTGAGTGTCACACAGTGGCGTACACACGATCCATGAGGCCCCGGTGCGAAAATTAATCTGTGCCCCCACGCGCTTACTCTGTGTGGGCTGGGGCTGCAACACATGGCGCCGGGCACCTGGTCGCAGGGCTGCGACCTCTGCGACCGTAGTATGTACGCCACTGGATGCAGATACACACACTTAAAGGACCACTATAGGCACTCAGATCACTCACTGAGCTCAATGAAGTGGTCTGGGTGCCAGGTCCCTCTAGTTTTAACCCTGCAGCTGAAAACATGGCAGTTTCAGAGAAACTGCTATGTTTCACTGAGGATTATTCCAGCCTCTAGTAGCTGTCTCACTGATAGCCGCTAGAGGCGCTTCACAGTGAGAAGACGCTGGAAGTCCATAGGAAAGTATTGAGTAATGCTTTCCTATGGACGGTTTGAATTCGCACATGCGCATTCGGAGCTGAGAGGCGGATCGGGGCGGAGAGATCCCCAGCGCCAAGGGAGCCTGGCGCTGGAGAAAGGTAAGTGAGCGCGAGGGAGCTGGGCAGAGAGCGCTCAGGGGAGAATGCTCCCTTGCGCGTCCGCCATTTAACGCCACTGCCAGCCTCGGGGGGGCCTGAGGTGGCCAGCTGCTAGGTCCCCCAGGAGAAGAGGCTGGCAAACTGGCGTACATACCCGGTTGCAGGGCGGCTGGGCCCTCTGGTGGGCTGGGCCCGGTCACAGCTGCGACCCCTGTGACCACGGTATGTACGCCAGTGGTGTCACATTTGACTCCATGTTAGAAATATGGCTAAGTCAAAAGAATGGTCCGCAAAGTTAAGAGAAGAGATCATTGCCCTCCACAACAAGTAACAGGATACAAAAAGATAGCGAAGGCACTGAATATTCCTACAGACATCGTTGGAAGCATAGTTTGCAAGTTCAAGTGGAAGGAACAGTGGTTACACTACCTGGACAGGGCAGACAATGGAAGCTGTCATTGGCTGCAACCAGATTTCTGAGAAGGCAGGCTGTGAAAAAAACCTTTAGTGACTGCAAAAGACCTGCAGCAAGATTTGATGGCAACAGGCACTAAGGTTTCGGTGAGCACATTAATGCGCATACAAAACGCAGAAGGTTTCCATGCCAGAAAAAGATGTACACTACTGCTGAACCAAAAGTACAAGAAAAGTCGGCTCCAGTATTCTCAAAATCGTTTAAATAAGCCACAGACGTTTTGGGATTCAGTTCTGTGAAGTGATGAAACAAAACTGGAACTTTCCGGCCCAGTGGATCAGTGGTATGTCTAGAGGAAGAAGAATGAAGCATACGCTGAAAAGAACACAGTTAAGCATGGTGATGGCTCGGTGATGCTCAGGGGAAGCTCTGCATCCTTTGGCACTGGAAACCTGCAGCGTGTGGAACGCAAGATGGATTCATTGAAGTATCAGGAAATCCTAGGAGACAATGTCATGCCGTCTGTAAGGAAGTTGAAGCTTGGGTGTCATTGGACCTTCCAACAAGACAATAATCCCATGCATACCTCAAATTCCACCAAGGCTTGGTTGCAGAAGTAGTTCTGGAAAATTCTACAGTGGCCATTACAGTCACCTGACTTGAACCCCATAGAAAATCTCTGGTGGGATTTGAAGAGGGCGGTTGCAGCACGCAAACCCAAGAATATTACTGAAATGGAGGCCATTGCTCATGAGCATTGGGCTAAGATTCCTCAGGAACGCTGACAGAAACTAGTGTCTGTCTATATATATCATTTGCAGCATATCATAACAGCAAAAGAGTGATCTACTAAGTACTGAAGATGCTTGCCGTGAAAGATTTGAATAATTTTGAGACTCGAGAAGTCTTTGCCTCCCCTAGGTTATTCCTTGTTACATGGCCTAAATTGTGTTGAGCCCACATCCATGTCACATTGGCATGGATTTGGGCATACCACAACCTAGGCAATGTGGCAAGAGGTGGGCATAACACAATGGAGGCAAACTGAAATATATAGGCCATGTGGCATGTGGGTATAATAAAGAGGAGGCAAACAAAAATATCAGGGATGTGGGCAATATCCCACATATGTGGGCTCCTGTGTGGAACCTCGCGTGGTTGAGGCAGTTGTTTCCGCCATTTTGGAGGCCACGACTCCCGCCTTGTTTGAGAGGGTCGCGGGCTTAATCGTGGGGCATGGAGTAAGAGATTCTCCACCTGGCGGGAAACGGGATCTCCCCCACCGGTCCATGGGGGGAGTGTAGCAGGTTCGTTTGCGGCTGATTGCACTCTGCGGGGAAGCTGCCGTCTTCCCTCGCCACCTCCCGAAGTAGGCCCCACTCTGCCGTTTCGGTGCCCGGTCATCACGGGTGTCAGGTTTGGTTTCATTGGGTTCCGGCAGGTGACCCCTGTGTCGTAGGCACCTTTGTAGGATGGTTGTGGCACTGCAGCTCGAGTAGTTGGCAGATTTTTGGCTCGTGTGGCAGGAGCTCCTGCAGAGCATGTCCTGCTAGTTTTCTGGTTAGGCTCCGCCCCGTCTCAGAATATCTTTTGAATGGGTGTGAATTTCAGTGAAATTCCAACACAGTCATTAGGCGTATTTCTTGGAGATTTGGTGACAGGGGTGACAGTGCTGCTTTAAGTGTTTTTTTTTCGTTTTTTCTCTCTTTTATGCGCATTACAAATGTATAACGCAAATTATTTTATTTTTATGCCATTAAAGGTGCAGCCTATCAGATTTTGTCAGACCTTTATTGAGCAATTTGACAAACACAGTATCCTCCTGGCATCAAAATCTAGCCCCACTTCCTCAGCTCATCTTTCATCCAATTAGGCAAGCAATGCTCTGCAGGGCTTAGTTTAGAATAACCATAATCACTAGTGTAAGCTGTAGTGGTTATGGTGATTGGAGTTTACCTTTATATTGTGCATAAAAGCTGCAAGAAAGGCAGACAAAAATTTACAAAGTGGAAGGGGATAAATTTAAGGGACATTAATTGTTGAGATAGAGCTCTATAGACAAAGGTACATGAACACTACACATAGCATCATACATACACAGACAAAAAAAAAAGAGAGAGAGAATTGAGAAAGGGCGGAAGAAAAACCACAAGAAGATAAACCCAGACAAAGACAGGGGGGAGGAGATGCTAGCAAGATGTGGGAGTCAAAAAGGAAAACTCAGAAACCCACAGAGAACACGTTGGGGCAGTGAGGCAGCTGTGAGCTTTAAACACCGCACACAACTCCTAACACG